TTTCATAAAAAGGTATAAGACGCTTTTTCAAACGCTCCTTCATGTACACATCGGCGTTGATTGTCTCCTTTGTGAAAAAAGCACTGCTTCTTAGGCCACAGGTGCAAATGGTCTGCCATATTAGCACTTTCTCCCCAAATTTATCGACTTGAATTGTTGACACCGACTCGTCAACAGTTCCACCCTTAACTTTTGTATAAAACTGAGGGCCGGGTAAAGTTTTCGAGTCCAATTTGACATACGTTTCGTCGTCCATAATAACGCATTGAACTGCATCATTGAGCAAGCGATCATAAAGCTTTCGCACTCTCGTTTTGCCGACTTCTACTTGTCGCAGACTTTTTTTCGGAACTTTTTGTTTTTTGTATGTCTTTAAATTATGGCGTTGCTTTTTTTTTAACCATACTCATACTTGTTCGCGCTTTTTTTGCCAATTCTCGAACGAACATCGTGTTATGTTTGTGGATTAAGGCTAATGCTTTTTTATCAATATTTTGATCCCTTGGACCCTTTTTTCTCCCAGTTTTTGGTAAATCTTTTAAAGAACATGTCTCTTCAAACTTAATTATAATATTTTAAACACTATTAACACTAACTTTGTAGCGTTTAGCTAATTGTCTGTAAGACACACCTTTTTCTGTGCAATAATTGTGCAAAATTTTTGCTCTTGCTCTTTAAATCGAGGCATCCTTGAAACTGATAAGTGAATAGTGAAAAATGAACATGCAAACAAGGCAGAATTTCTCAAGCTTTCTAACGGTGCATCGAACGGCATGATCGAAAGCTCGCACTGCGAGAAATTGACGATTGTAAGTGTGCAGTTTCTTTTCGGCACATTCCTTAAACAATAAGCATAGAACGTCCGCACACCCATCTTCGCTATCATTTCCTAATACGTCGGCAAATAATTATCAGGCAATCGCCAATCTTTTTGCACAATTTTTCCAAAACACCTATTCTGAAAAAAGCTAGTCTGGGCATCCGTACCCATACGGCTTACTGAGGTCGAACGGCATTTTCAGTCCCTTGTGAAATGAATTTTCTCTACTTCATGACGGGGTTCTTGCTTCCTCCCGATCTGAAAGGAATAGTTTATAATTCCTCTCCATAAAAAGGTAGCAAGTCTGAGGCAAACAAATAATACAGGTATATCGAAGTCATCCGCTTTTCCTAAAATGTTTGAGAACGTTTTACCTCCGCACTTGCAACATCTCTGCAAGTCACTTATATCTCCAACTCAGCATGGATCAAGGCGGCGATCAGCCACCACGAATTAGAGTTAGAGTTTACCTCTTTCATTTTTAAAGGCTTTTAGGGTAATAAGCTACAACGGATGTTACTTACACCGACTTAAGTAAAGCATACGACTGTGTAAATCCACCACATAAACTTGACCTTTTAGGTTTTCCGACCAACCTCCTGAGATGGATTTCTATCTACCTTTGTTCCAGGTCTCAACGAGTCCTCTTCAAAAACTCCCTCTCTTTACCAGTCAAGGTTTCTTCGGGAGTACCACAGGGCCCATACTCTTCACACTCTTTTTATTAATGACTTGTCTTCAGTATTAACATATTCTCGAGTACTTATGTATGCGGATGATGTTAAACTCTGTTTCCAGTATAAGGACATTTCATTTCATTCTCGCTTGCAATCCGATCTGGTAAATAAGGTCATGGGCGTGCTTGGGTGTTTAAAGAGGTGGTCAAAGGAATTTGGCGACTCCTATATAAAAAAAACTCTCTATACTTCGCTAGTTATACCGTTTTCCTTTTCACTTTGTCGATCGAATTATTTCTTGCATGAACTGTTTAGGGTTTAAGGCTCGGATTATAATTCCCTCTTCCTCCGTCTCTCCTTCCTCTTATTAAATTACTAATATTCCATATTCTATATTAGTCTAACAGAATGCTCGCGTTCGGTTCGGCTACGCGCCGCGCGTCATGCGGCAGCGCCCATCGGTTGGTTGGGCTGGTGGAGTGCTTCGTTTTGACTGGGATGCGAGCGTAAGAGTCTTCTCCTGGTGTCACACGGGCCACTTGTTGATGCAGTAATTGCATCGCCACTTGAAAGATGCAGTCATTGTATATCAACATCCAATCGTCATAAAAATAAATTAATAATTAAAAATGCCTCTAGAGGATATATTAGTATATGTTCAAGGTAGAACTGACTCCTGATGGTATGCCTATAGATAAAAATGAAATCCACCCAATCTACAAGATCCAATATCTACTGCACCGTAGAATCAACGTTGGGGAACCGCACAAACGAAATGGACCCGTGCATTGGACGAAGTTGTCAGGGATATGGATAAAAAAAACTTATTGCACCCTACGCGCAGTCTGCGTTGCCTGCTGGGATGTACATCTTACTGAGCCTGTCTATAAAATGTCTGTAAAAATCCCCTAACCCAATAAAAAAATGCAGCTCGAAGCCCAGTCATCCGACAAAGCTTGTCGAATGCCAACTACGACCCCAGGCAAAAACTTAGGTTACACGAATGAGTCATACGCCTCAGTCTATAAACCAAAGCTCCTACAAACCTCTGCAGGAAAAATTCAGCAAATTGAGTAGTGAAATTGAGTCAATGCTGGTAACTATAACAAATACAATGGTAGCAATACATCAAATGGTGCAGGAACTTATGAGCAATAAAAATCTCCCTTTGGAGCTACTAATCAAACAGCAATCTGCTTAAATGGTTTCTCTAAATATATATTTCTAGAATTCGAAAGGCATTTCGCTGCACGAATGCGAGGTCATGCAGTTCCTCGATCAATATGACAGTGACGCCATGCTCATATCCGAGACTCACAAAAAGACTCAAACAAAATTATTTTCATCTCAATGGCTACAACTTCTATGCGATAAATCATACCGATGGTATGGCTCATGGAGCTACTGGAATTCTGATCAAGCAGATCAATTCATTTGCTAGGACTTATCTACAGGCAACATCAATTCATGTGGAAACTCTAAGCGGGTACTTGAACCTAGCCGCAGCTGCGTATCTCCGTTTCTGAAGCAGAATTTGTAAAATTCTTCGACCTATTAGGTGACTGCTTTATAGCAGCTTGTGACTGCAATGCCAAGCACACCCATTGGTAATCTCGACTCAGCAATCCGAAGGGCTCGCGCACACTATAGTTGAAATCGGAGTTGAAAGCCAAGCTGATCTAAAAGATTTTTTTAGGCAGGATCAGCTGGACGCACATTGTCGGCTGATCTGATTGCTCAAAGCTTGAATTGCATCACAATAAGTACAGTAGCCAGGCGGAAGTTTTTTTTATACCCGATACTCAAAATGAGTATTGGGGTATATTGAAAATGGATGTGTGTAACGTCCAGAAGGAATCGTTTCCGACCCCATAAAGTATATATAATCTTGATCAGCACCAATAGCCGAGTCCATTGAGCCCTGGTCTGTCTATCCGTCCGTCCGTCTGTCCGTCCCTATTAGCGCCTAGTGCTCAAAGACTATAAGAGCTAGTGCAACGACATTTTATATCCGAACTTCTGTGATATGTCACTGTTACAAGAATATTTCAAAACTTTGCCCGCCCACTTCCGCCTACGCAGAATCGTAGAGGATGACTATATCGTCTAGAGTGCAAAATCTGAACCAGATCGTATAATTATTATAGCCAGAAACAAGAAAACAATTTTATTCTTTCTCGCTCTGTCTCTCTCTAACACACAGGTTTCATGGTCGGTTTTGCCTATTGCAAAATATGAGTTCAAGGATCTCTCTCGCACGCACTCTTTGTCGTGTCGTTTAATATTCGCGGCGTCTGCCGTAGGAGAGACATACTGACTAAGTATCGGGTATAAATGTAGAGTTGCGGTCTCCGCAGCAACTCACAACGTTTCCCCTCGTTTTTTTTTAATTCCGTGTATTTTAAAAACTTTTTCGTTGTGTATTGTATTTGTATTACTTTTATTTCACGAATTATTATTATATTTTTCAAATATTAATTTTTTAATTAATAAAAAACATTCTAGTCTTTTGAGTGTTTAATGTACTTGGGGACATAGTATATTATATTTATTATTAATATATGAAAAGGGTAAAAAATAAAACTTTTTTCACAATTTATTTGATATCTCCTTCCAAGTTTCTATAGAAATTGAACGCATTGAATAATTTGTTTACAATCCCCCTATTCCCCAGGTCGGGGTTAACCGCAATTTCGCTTAACAATGTTTCGCAGCACATTTTTATTCACTAATAACCCAATGCACTTGTACAAAATAAGCAATCAACTTGCTGAAAAAAAAACAAACTGTTCTCACTTCCTAACTTGTAGAAAAATAGATTGGCTCAAATAAAGAAAATATATAAGTTCCCATATTGATGGCTGCCCAAATTACTACTGTTAAGATGACATAGAAAGCTCAGTTGAATCATTTGCGGCTGTAATATCAATGACTGCCAAACACTCCACTCCAATAATAACAGGTAATACAATTCACAGCAGCAGTCGTGTTCCAGAGCTTCGATAAGAGAAGACTTCGGCGAGAATTGCAAGCCCATAGATCACCTGCCTCGAAGCAGCGGTTTAAAATAGCCAACCGTTTACTACGCAAAGCTCTAGAAAATGAGAACGGAAAACGATTCCCACGGTGGAAAGCTGAAGGAGGTGTATCTCCACCAATCGAGAGTGAACCACTGTTACGTACGCAAACCGGAGAGTGAGCTCGCGGCAACAAAGAGAGGGCAAATACATTTTCTGTCTATTTAGAAAACGTCTTCAAACCACATCCAGCGACAAATAGCTTTGTGCTGCCACTAACCAATAATCTTGACTGAAAAATCACCTGTTTTTCCAACTAAACGGAATAGCCAATAATCACGCGTAAAAGTTGGATATGAAATTCCAGTAGAACCACTATCATACACGAATTGGAATGTGATGCTATTGGAACTATGGGTATAAAATAGTTTTTAAATAGTAGAAAATAAAATTATGGAGGATTTGTCATAAAATCATTTAACATACATCATCTGATTCACTCAAATCAATGTTTCCATTATCATCATCATCAAGTTGACGATGCAAGCTGGCAATCGCCTCCATGCCAAAACGATCCTGTACATTTCCATTATAGCAGTCAAATTCTTCTGGGTTGCAAGCACCATCTGCAGAGCCACTTCCAATTGAATCTGTTAATAATCAATAATTATTAGTTTCTTAAATAAACGTATGTGCATAACTATTAATAGTTTACATATTTCAAATTGTGTTTATTAAAATTTGTTTATTTCAACGCCCGCTCGGTTCGTCTGTAAAGCTTGATTAAGTCCCAGAATCCTAAAAAAAAATGTATAGTAGGATTTTGGGAACGAACACAGCTGCCGAAGGCGAACTGCTGCCCAACCGAAGAGACGAAGCCGAGTAGGCAGCGGTTGGCGGTCTGAGGCAAAGGATAGCCTGAAAGAGAATTAAAGTGCCAGCGTGCCGGTCCAACGAAAAATTAAATGTCATTTGTTCTTGTTGCAATATCTTGGTATTGTATAGTCTTTAATATAATATTTCTCTATTTCGCTCGAGCCCAAGAAATAGCATCGGTTTCGTTTCCAGTATTAATCGCTTTTTTTCGGATCTGAGTTCTGGTCTGCGAAAAGCAAACAAAATTACTAAAAATTTATGGTTTTTATAAAAAGTGCTAACAACGCGTTGTGAATGTGTTAATATCGTCGAAAGATTAATCAATCATTTTTAAAATTTTAGTAACATTACTACAAATTCACAATTTTCTACGGTTAACTAAGGTTGGGAGGTTTACTAATAGCAGTCTACTAGAGTAAGATGGGAGTCTAGATGGCTACCCTGTGGTACTCCCGAAGAAACCTTTACTGGTAAAGAGAGGGAGTTTTTGAAGAGGACTCGTTGAGACCTAGAACAAAGGTAGATAGAAATCCATCTCAGGAGGTTGGTCGGAAAGCCTAAAAGGTCAAGTTTATGGGGTGGATTTACACAGTCGTATGCTTTACTTAAGTCGGTGTAAGTAACATCCGTTGTAGCTTATTACCTTAAAAGCCTTTAAAAATGAAAGAGGTAAACTCTAACTCTAATTCGGGGTGGCTGATCGCCGCCTTGATCCATGCTGAGTTGGAGATATAAGTGACTTGCAGAGATGTTGCAAGTGCGGAGGTAAAACGTTCTCAAACATTTTAGGAAAAGCGGATGACTTCGATATACCTGTATTATTTGTTTGCCTCAGACTTGCTGCCTTTTTATGGAGAGGAATTATAAACGATTCCTTTCAAATCGGGAGGAAGCAAGAAGAATCAATGGACAGGGTGAATAGTTTAAGCAAGGGTCCACAAAGAGCATCGGCGCAGTACCTGAGTACACAGCCTAGAACCCCGTCTGGTCCCGTAGAAAACAGCGGCTTAGTTAGTCGAAGATCATGAATATCATAGAGAAAATTTAACAAGGGACTGAAAGTGCGGTTCGATCTCGGTAAACCATATGGGTACGGATGACCAGAGTTGCTCTCCTCAGAAGAGGTTGTCTGGTCAAGCAGCATAAATACTTTCAATTATAGCTAGTGGTGCAGCCTAACGTAAATCACCATTAGTGTTCGATATTTGCACTGCCCACTGTACAAAATCATTGCCTGTCGCAATGCTTAAGCACAGCAGGCCGTTCTTTCGCCCCTCTGTTCGCCTTCTTCATTCCTACCGTTCTCTCGCGCTCTCTCTATCGTTTCGATCTCGGCTTAGCTTCAGCCCGAACTATGGGATTAGCTGCAGGTATAGCGCTCTCTTTCTATCGCTCTCTTTGTTCGCTCGCCTGCACTAGGGCACGGGCAAGTCGGTCCGCCTGCCCTTAGTAAGTCTGGAGTTGATCTTCGTAGCCATCAGAATCGCATCGTTGTTCATCAGTCGTTCACACGCATTTCCACATACATACAAATAACATACATACTTTCGCTTTCGTGTATCAATAAATTGCAACATATGTACATACGCATACGTCGGTTTAAATATAACAATAAATTGAGCCTCTTATTTAAGCCCGCTTGACTTTTTATTTAAATCAAACTTGCAACAGTTATCAAAAACGCTTAATAGCTTAACATAGATGATTTGGAAAAATTGGGTAAAAGGTTTTGCGATTGCCTGATAGTTATTTGCCGACTTATTAACGATCGGCTGAGTGACGGTTGCCACTTGCAGATCCCGAGGAGTGACCCTTTTAAGTTTTGAAGACTCATTAAGCAGTTACAGACTGCTAAGCTGAGACTTCATGGTTAGGAGCCGACTCTTCGATTGTGAACAACACCAGTGAAATGATTTTATGCGAGTTTCAATCCCAGTCCGAGATTCCTTGATATACACATGTATATAAATCAGACCTCGCAAATAACGGTTGACACTTTCGGCGTGTCTGATAAAAACCTCTCGTTGACGGACACATTGAGAAAAGGGACTGAAGAGACCCGATCAAATCTGTTTTTGCTCAACTCGCTCTTCGCTCAAGCAAAGACAGATTTTTTCACTTCTCTTTTGTTCCTGTTTTTCACTGAGCGAACTGTTCCTGTTCGCGAGCGAACGAAAAAAGTGTCTTTTGCATATGTATGCGTGCTTGTACGTGTGATGCTTATAGCAATGATCAATTTTTGTGAATTCTATACGGTTTGACTATTGGAGCTTAAAATGAATCGTGAAAAGCAAAACGAAAAATTACACTTTTTGGTTCTGATCATCTAAAGATACTTTTGCTGTGAGCGCTTGAGCAAAGTGTCTCTCTAAGTTTTTATTGTTAGACACGATCGAGTGTCGGGCTCAACCGAAAACACGAAACACATAACACAAGCGAAGAGACAAAAAGTGTTCTGCTCAGTTAGAGACCGTGTCTCCGTGGTCTTTTTCTGTTTTGTCAGTGACGAGACAGCAAAGGGAAAAAGTGTTGACCGTTGTTTGCGAGGTATGATATAAAGAGGCTCTGATTTTAAGAATAAAATTTAGTTTGAATTTACAACTCAACTCGCAAATGTCTAGACTTTTCTTTTAAGGTCTTAACATTTTGGTCCTTCGAGACTCTCCGTTGTTTCCCCCCTGTGGTAGGAGCACGAAGTTAAGCCAGCTCGTTTGAGCTCGGACAAGTGTCTAGTTCACTGACAGCTAAAGGTAGCAAAATAAAAAATTCTGATTTCCCTCCTATAGGAAGGAACAGAGTATAAAATAAATTAACGAAACAGAAGTTTCAATTAATAATTTGGAAAAATAAGAGCTGCACAGGCTGTATTTTAATAGATAACGAAAGATGTATATCTATTGTAATTGAAAAATAAACATTTTTCGCGACGGTGGCGTTTTCGAGGACGGAACATCGAAAGAAAAAAATAGTAACCCGAAACATCGAAAGTGCTTAATGGCTAGCAATTTAAAAAAAAAGGTGGCAAATAACTGTGACTGTGAAAAAATAAATAAATAAATTGTTTTGTGTGTGCCAGCGACAATAACTGCAGCGACAGGAAGATCAGCGACAGCGACTTCAGCAGCATCGACATCAGCAGCAGTGACAATAGCTGTAGCGACTTAAGCAGAGGCAACACCAGCAGCAGCGACAACGATATCAGCAGCAGCGACCTAAGAAGAGGCAACACCAGCAGCAGAAACAGCGGTATCAGCAGCAGCGACTTCAGCGGCAGCAGTAACAACAACAACAGAAGCAGAATTAATCAGCTCAGTCTCATATCTCAAATTGTTTTTAAGTCTAATCAAGTACAAAAAAAAACGAGGGGGAACGTTGTGAGTTGCTGCGGACACCGCAACTCTACAGTTATACCCGATACTAAGTCAGTATGGCAGACGCGGCAGACGCCGCTAATATTAAACGACACGACAAAGAGTGCGTGCGAGAGAGACAGAAAATCAGTCTGAGCGTGACGTCGGGCGCTGCGTAGCCACTGCAAATTGATTTGTTCCTTTTGGCTATAAAAATGATCTGATCTGATCCAGATTCAGCAATCTGATAGATATGGTCATTATCTATGATTCTGCGTTTTTAGTTTTCTCAAATCTGCAATATTGTGGATGCAACAGATTTTCGTCCTTTGTGGGGGCGGAAGGAGGTGGGGCGAAATTTGGAGATATACGTTTTATAGTGAGATCTAACAGGAGTACGGATACTAAATTTGGTTACTCTAGCTTTAATAGTCTCTGAGATTTGTGAATATCCCCAGATTTGCATCCTTAGCGGGGGCGGAAGGGGGTGTGGCGAAATTTTGAAACAAACTCGTCTCGGTCCGATATATTAGGAGTGTGGATACCAAATTTGGTTGCTCTAGCTTTTATAGTCTCTGAGATCTATGGGGTTAATGTATTACTCTAAGTAAAGCCGCCTATGCTACGTGTGTGTTAGAGAGAGACAGGGCGAGAAAAAATGAAATTGTTTTCTTGATGCTGGCTATAATAATAATACGATCCAATTCAGATTCCGCAGTCTATGGTCATTCTCTACGATTCTGCGTTTTTGGTTTTCTCGTATCTTTAAAATTGTGGATGCCACAGATTTTCGCCCTTTGTGGGAGCGGAAGTGGGCGGGGCAAAGTTTTGAAATATTTTTGTAGCAGTGACATATCACAGAAGTCTGGATCCTAAACATCGTTGCTCTAGCTCTTATAGTCTTTGAGCATTAGGCGCTGAAGGGGACGGACAGACGGACGAACGGACGGACAGACAGACAGACAGGGCTCAATCGACTCGGCTATTGATGCTGATCAAGAATATATATACTTTATGGGGTCGGAAACGATTCCTTCTGGACGTTACACACATCCACTTTTACCACAAATCTAATATACCCCAATACTCATTTTGAGTATCGGGTATAATTAAACTAAGATGTTGTCGGAACAAATAATTAAGCTATTAGAGGCTCAAGCAGCGATAGCAAGGGAGATTAAAAAGATTGAAGCTGATCATTTGACCAGCGATGTAATCCAAAGGTTAGGAGACCTTAAAAACAAAGTTACAGCTAATAATTCTGCACTGTTAACATATGGAGTAGTCGATCATGACTACTATAAGAGACAGCAGTACGAAAAAATAATTAAAAATATAGAGGACATGCATAAAAAGTATGTAGAGTCAAAAAATAATGAAACATTAACGAAAGGGAAGGTAGAAAAAAACAAAGTTACAATCAG